ATTTCATAATACTGTTAATAATAATAGTAACAATATTGCAGATTACTGCTTATGCTTTATAATAATAATGATGGTGATATAGGTTGTTTAATCTACTTCATAATAATAATTTTGATAGTAAAAGTAATAATACAAGTTGCTCCCTCTGCTTAATAATCATCATACAGGTTGAGCATCCCTTATCCGGACATCCCGAAATTGTCTGGATGGGCATGAGAAAGAGTGACATATTTGCTTTGTGATGATTCACTATACGCAAACTTTGTCTCAGACACAAAATTATTAAAAACCAGTATGGCAGAGAGTGACACCTTTCCTTCCTGATGGTTCAACATACACAATATTTAACAATTTTGTCTCATGCACAAAATATTTAAAATATTGACAACAAATTTGCCTTTGGGTGTATATGAAATGTGAGCAAATTTTGTGTTTGGACTAGGATTTCATCTCCAAGATATCTCATCATACCAATATTTCCAGAAATCATCCCGTCACATTGCAATGACTGCGAGAGTGACACCTTTGCTGTCAGATGGTTCAGTGTACAGAAACTTGCATTCCTGCGCACAGTATTTAAATTTGCCTCCAGGCTACCTATATAAAGCAATCTCTCTTTTGTTCTTAACTGATAAAGAGCAAATACTTGATTAATGTGGCCTATTTAGGACACTGAATGATTGCATAGCTTGATGTTCTGCATATATTCACAAACATGACTGGGCCAGGTAGTTGATCATATATATATGACTATCCCATAACACATGTATGTGTAAATACAGGCGTTCTGAAATCCGAAATGCTTCTGGTCACAGGCGTTTTGAATAAGGGATGTTCAACATGTAATAACTCATGCAGCGTTCCAAGTTGGGATTGTGAGATGTACAAATTCAACTTCCCTGAATAATAGGTGTGGGCACAATGTGATTTCCATATTAGTAACAACCTTAGCACCAAACAGGTATCTCAGGGGATGTGTGAGAACCTGTATTCCCAGCAAAGATGAGAAAACTACTTGTTTTGACTAGAGAGATGGCTTGTAGGTCTCTTTGCATTGGCTTCCTTTCCATTCGTTCCTTGACTGGTGCTGTCAATGCAGGCAATTTTACTTAGTCTGCATGAGGGTATTTGGGGCAAAGCTCACTGACAAATGACCATGAGCTTCACTAATATCAGATGGGTGGTGCTAGATTTTAGTTGCTTGATCCAGTAGGTGAAATGGTATTTTTGAAATTTAAAGTGTTTTGCTTGCTGTTTTTACCAACTTCCTTCAAATGATCTCATTGCTTGATTTTCAAAACAAAGATAGCAAGATTTAGTCCAGTCTGCTTGGAACCTAGGCCCCCGTACTAAGAAAAGCAACCCTGACTAATAATGCAGGTGTGAAATTCTAAGTGCTGAAATTGGACACTCTGTACATGCCCAGAAATATACACTTAGGACCTAAAAATGCCAGAATTCTGCAAGAGGCAGAAACTGGATTTAAAGTGGATTCATTCTCTAGTGTAATGAGGTCCTTAATCTCACATTCTTGGCTTCAGCTGTTGTATTTGGAGCAGGCAACATTGCTGAGCTGAGTGAGCCTTAAATCAAAATGTGTCTTAAATCATCTTCCACGTGTTGTTCATTATGTAATGACTGACTTTAAAAAAGACGTTTTTCTAAAAAGAAGGTAACCGCTATACCATTAATACCAGTTGTAGGTGTTTAAACAAAGAGAGAACCAGAGTTTGAAATACAATTAGTACATGCTTATGTTTAATATATTCCATAAGTGAGATCTTATTGTTAATTAAGCTGATTAGTTTGTAGTCTTTCAGATCCACTAGTATTTATGACAGGAAAAGTCAGTAGGGTTGGCAATTTTTTCTGTTATTGTCAAAGCAGAATTCATTATAGACAAGTTATAAACACATTGAATTAATGTCCTTTCTGGAAAACATGAAGATTGCTAATTGTTATGCTAATTAACTGAGAGTGTATTTGAAATCTGTGATATATCCATGTAGCAACTAGTGTTGTTTTTAGTAAACCTGGTAAACATCAACAAACATTCAAAGTGAAGGAGTCTTGTAGTTAGGCTGACTGTTGACAACTTGTATTCAGTTGTAATATTTTTCTTTCAGCCTTAACATGATTGAGATTGTTGGTTTGTTTTCAGTAAAACATGTGACATTCTGCCCAAATCATTGTTTTTCCTCTTGTGACTGCATTTATTAATGTATTGTTTTATAGTGTTTATTTGGAGCTCACATTGTAGTCACTGCTCAGAGCTTTTAGAAGTGGTACACTGCAACTGTCTCATTTGTTGCAAGAGATGTAGTATGGGACACACACACATTTATTATTCTCCTTTAATCTCTAAAGTTACCTCACTTGGCTCTTCCTTCTTTTCTTTTATTATCCTCTGCTATGGAGCTTTTGAAGAAAATACTTTGTCAGTCTCATCTGAATAGTAGAGGTGACACAAAGAGAGGGGTGGATGGTCCTAGATACTTATTTTCATTTGACAAACCTATGTATCCCAGGGAATATTTTGCTTTTACCTGTCCTTCCTCAGACCCAGGCCCCATCTACACTGCCATATAAAATCCAGATGATTTGCTTTGAACTGGATTGCAGTGTAGACTCATATATTCCAGTTCAAAGTAGATATTGTGGATTATCTGCTTTGATATTCTGGATTATATGGCAATGTAGAAGAGGCCACTGTCTCTGTGGAAAAAGTCTGCAATTGGTTTCTCTCCAATGTTGACATATAGAGGAGGTGTCACCACACAGAGTTATTACCATATGTTAGCCTCCAGACCTGCGGTAGCTTGTT